CACAGGGGTATTGTCTGTGTTCTGTTTTTTTTTCATCTTGAGTTTCAAATGAAATGAAATTATAGCTTAACCTCGCTTGGGTTCGCCACAGAGGTCTGTATAAAATATTACAGACCGCTGAAGGAGGCCGCGAATTCGAAAAGGCCTTATATGCATCATCCTAGGACACGCGTCTTCTGGAATAAAGAAACACAGGAGAAGATATTTTTTAATTTATTCTATCGAAGGTTAACCCGCAACGACCGAATTATGGGCTTAGGCTAAGGTTATTTGTTTTTTTAGGTCTCAGCGTGCCTTAATTGCAACGCTCTCTTTGTTTAAATGAAGAATTTTCTAACAGAGGTAAGAATGCAGCTGCATGGTTGAAAAGCACTTACATTACCTTAGATAGAATTTGGAAGTTGTCTCAGCTAACAGTTTTAACTAATTCAACGTAAGTTTTTTATTTCTCTCACAACTGCACGCAAGAGTTAAAGTGCTCGCATTTATCATAGCATCTGAAGAGAGACTGACTGACTTTTTTGTGTTAAAACCAGTTCTCCCTACAGGGACAAGATTAGGGAAGGCTGTTTTCAGCAATACATATGTAAGGTTAGTATCCGCAAGGTTTCAACACCAGTGAATTCGTTCCTTGTTAATAACTGTATTTCTCGCTGATTAATCAGTTAGACAACAATAGCTGGATGTCAAAGATCATTCATGCAAAAAATTTTAGCACCGAAAATGAGACTTTGCAAGCTTCCAGTGCGTTGGTGTTTTGATAAAACCGTTAGGAAACCGCATCGAAGATAAATCATGATAAGGTGGAGATTAATTCGTTCTACTATAAGTATCAAATATATTTATCGATAAACATCTATATATCAAATATATCCCTTTTCATTCACGTTATCGTCTCGTATGTGTCAGAACGGAGCAATGGCTTTTCTAGCTGCATATAATTTTCCCTTTATGAAATGCGAGAGACGAAAAGCAAAAGCTTGCAACTCTAGATCAATTGTTAGTGTGTGGCTTTTTATCACTAGTTCAACAATAAAAAGCTTGTGTAACTTACACCTAAACTTTAAAAATCACTGATTGAGCGCCAAGCAAATGCAGAGTGATAGATTTGGACAGTTTTTCCAAAAATAAAAAAACCCCAGAATATTCGCTATAACTTTTTTTATAAGTGACTGGCAAATACTCGGCATAGTTAAGGATGACTGACGTTATCTTTAACAGAATTGCCATTCTTTAGTCCATTTTACAACTTTTCTCTATAATGAAAAAGTACTTTTTAATCTTCAGGAGACATTCACATCTGCACTGAATGACATTTGTCTCAACTGAAGCCAAAGAAGGTGACTGCTGAGATGTAATTCTTCTTGTGTTCCGACAACTTGCGGCGTGACGAGCAAAACCGATACGCTCGACTGAAATAAAGAATGGCGAATGCAACTGAGGATGAAAACCCCACATTTACAAACCAAGAATTTTCGGGCGTTTCAGGGCTTACATTAGCTCATAAGATAATTGTGTTGATGCTTGGTATTCCTCTGTCCATCAGTGCAGTTGTAGGAAATGTTCTGATCATCGTTGCCCTTTACAAAGTGTCTTCTCTTCACTTCCCACAAATCTATTTACATAATATGTATGCAAACAGCAACCATTAGTTAAACCAACTACATGTTTTACACGTGCAAGAACTGTTCAGGCTTCCTGTTCTTAGATACTCTGATGAAAGATGACGAGGCGAGCCGACCAAAACATACAAAAATCTCTTTTGGAGTACAAGTGTACGCTTTTGGAGATTATTAAATAGTTACAGAAGAACACTATCGTATTTTTGTCTCATCTACGTCATCTTCTCCGATGGATGTGTGTTGCACACACAAAGCATTTGCATAGGAAAAAATGTTGCCCGCGCACATCCTTTAAGCGTTTTCACTTGGCAATGGAGATAATTTTCCAAATTACCGGCGCGTCTCTTAAATGTGACCCATACCACAAGAGAGAATTTTAAAAAAATTGCTATGCAGAGTCGTTCCCGATGGTCTTCAGAGTGCTTAGGTCGGCACGTGCGGCATGATAACATGGAGGGTGATTGGAACGAGAAAGTGTCAGTCACGCGTCAACACTTTCACCCCTCCCTTACCCTCTGCGTTCCCGGCGTGCCACGCGGCACGCGGCACGCGCCACGCGAAATGAGGCTAACGTGCAAATGTAACGAGTGGAAATTCAGTTGGAGCGACATCGTGCAACATAAGTAGCATTATTGAGCGATCGCATTACAGTTCGTTGTTGACTTTCAGGGCGGCTCTTGATCAAGAACACTTCCTCATAGCTATTCTTCTCAACTTCATAGTTGCCACAATTTAAGTTCATTATCAGCCCTACAAAGTGTATCGTCTGTGCACCCTGGTATTGTTACGATTACATTATTATTACATCACTTTGCAAAATGTCAAGAAAGTTCCAGAGTGTTCCATAATCGAACTCGCTTTACCACTATACCAAAACAGAAAACAAAAACGTTGTGTTGAGAAATCTTTCTCTAGCTTCAGTTTTATTTACTAACTATCAAGAGTGACAACGCGTCTTGTTGCCATTTCATGACAGCAGAATATAATTGTCAAATGCTTTTAATACAGGGCCAAGTCTTGATTTCATTTTGACTCCCTGAAATCAACTAAAAAAATTCGATTTCACCAACTTATTGGCGATATCTTATTAAAAATTCGCACGAAACACCAAGCTGGTCAGGGCGCCTTGTCGGTCTCAATTTTGCCATTCATTTTGGTTAGTTGACTGAACGGCTCTTTTGAGGAAACGGGTACTGTATTGTAGTAGCTCATTCTTATTTACTTTTGAACGCAAAAACTAGATCTGTCGCGGAATCTTTACGGACTCCGCAGTCGCTGGTTAACTCGATATCAATCGAAGAGGACTGTATACTAACTTCTTTTCCAAGTTTTATTCTCGACGAACTCCGCCGACGTTAAGACAATTCATTCTACCAATTCTCTTGTTGTAACAGTTCAAAGTTAACGTTCTCCCAAATTTAACTTAAACTATATCTGTTACGGTCTTTCATAGTTCGCCTTGCGTAACTACCAGCTAGTACTTTCCCTACAATCACGAGTGCAGTAAATTCCCAAGCCAACCTATTGTAATGCGTCTATATTTAATTCTTATTACCCAAAAGCACGTTTCTCCTTCCTTATTAGGCGGACTAAACGCGTGCAATTACATCTCTGTTACAGTAAATCAACTGCAGACTTTGTAAATGTACCATTGTTATGAAATCTGTCACACTCTCTAATGCAATCATTTACAATTCCGTCACATAATTAATATTTAGGAGGACATTTAATCAATGACTTGATTCGAAATTAATATTCCCCAACACTATCAGCAAAAATCGTGCGTTTAAGATTTTAAGACCTACCAACAACACATTACTGGGTGCATCAGGAAAAAGGGGCACGAAAAGCCAATATTAAGTCATTTCCTGTGGCGAAAGTTGTCTTACGTATTTCTTTATCACTCGGAATACAGTGAATTGCTTGTTCTTTACAGCGACCTCTTAATTTCAAAAGGTACCCCGGGATCATTGATTACTTAGCCCTTGAAAAATAGAATATTTAAAATGCTCTGGTATTTGGTGATTTTCATTCGACAGCAACGGAACGTTCAAAGTTTAAAACGCACGTGCAAAATTGTTTTTCTCCCTTGAGCCTTTCGCCTCGTCACGTACTTGAAATGTTGACTGTACTGTCGCTGTTCTATGTAAGTTCCTAATGCGATGATAAACAACTTCATGAGGTCAGTTGCCGCAGGATTTCCACGTGAGAGATTTTCCTATAGAGACGTGTTTTTTAGTTGGAAGAGTTCAAATGTAACTTGTCTTTGAAAAAAAACGGTTTCCCACAACGTTTGGCATGATCGTAAGTCAAAGCCAAAATGAGGAGCTTTAGATAATTGCATTTAGATTTTAACATTTTACAAACTTCAGCGGGATAGTTTGAAGAATCATTTTCATGATTATCACGTTGAAGCGACTGCTGTGAACTGATCCTTCTCGGCTTAAAACAACAAAAAAGAGTAAAAGGAAAAAATCACACTGAAGCAATGGAGAATTTAACAGAAGATAGAAAATATGTGGCAACAAAGCAAATGATCTGTACTTCTGGTCTTGGAGCAGCAGCCAGTCATAAGATATTGTCTTTGACGTTGACAGTTCCTCTATCCATCACTGCAATTTTGGGAAATATTTTGATCATCATTGCTCTTCGAAAGGTATCCTCTCTTCATCCACCGTCGAAACTTTTGCTCGGCTGCTTGGCGTGCACCGATTTGGGGGTGGGCCTTATTTCGCATCCTCTTCTCAATGGTCTTTTTCTTTCTCCAGAGCGCTGGTTTGGTTGTGACGCCTTTTGGATCCTTTTCAATACCACCGGTTTTGTGTTTGCTGGTATATCTTTGTTAACAATGACCGCAATAAGCGTAGACAGACTTCTTGCTCTGTTGCTGGGGCTAAGATACAGACAGATGGTAACTGCGTGGAGAGTGAAAGTCCTTATTATTGCCCTTTGGCTTTTCAGCACTTTAGTTGCAATGGTAGCGTTTTACAGTCATCGTCTCGCTTTAAGCATCGCTTGTGCAGCACTTGTGTTGTGCATTGTAATCTCTACTTTCTGCTACAACAAAATTTATCGCACACTCCGTCTTTCTCAAACACTCGTTCAAGGCCAAGTTTATCCTGAACAACCGAATGGGGAAGGAATTCTGCTAAACAGAGCACGATACAAAAAGACAGTGTCCACAGCATTGTGGGTACAAATGGCGTTACTGGCTTGTTATCTCCCTTTTGGTTTCATCTCTGTTTATATGACAGCTGGATTGCACACACCGTCAATTCTTTTCGCCTGGGCTCTGACGATATCTCTGATGTACTTTAACTCGACTCTAAACCCATTCCTGTACTGCTGGAAGATGAGGGAGCTAAGAAAAGAAGTAAAAAACACGGTAAAACAGTTCTTCTGCCTGTCAGGTTAACTGTGTGATGCTGCTCGAAGCAATTGAGAATCATTTCTCCGTGTGGATGAGATGTCAGCCATACCTCGAGTGCTCTTCCGCTACCCTTACAGTTTAATGTTACTCGTGTATTTGTGAGGTATTCCTAAGTGAAGAAGATCACTGACAGCGTGAATAAAATTATCACTCTAAAGAACCTCAAGAGGCGGTCAATGTAATGCGAAAGATTCGCGAGGATCCAAATTTATACCAGCTTTATAAAGCATACTTCTTTAACCAATCGAGCCCTGTGTGACTAGCATCTAATTTCTCCTTTCAGTAGTACTGCTGAATCATTCATTTAAGATCATGAGAATAAGGGAAGTGATCGCCAACCTAAGAACTTTGATCGTTAAACAATTTCTCCTTGTCAGCACCAAACGAAAAACAGAAAAGAGTATGGAGAATATGGATACTGATGTTAGGGTGTAAAGGGTTAACTAAATAACGAGGCAACATTTGCAGTGGTAAGGAGAACTGCGAATCCTTTCGCGACAGTTAGAAGACTGGTTAACTTTTAGCACCAGAACACTTTAACTTTTTAAACTGGACAATCACAACTTTTCACAGCGCATTTATTGCTAAAAAATTGCAAAACAAAACACTTGACATCGTGGTATGAAAATAGTCTCTTGAAAAGGCATTCAGGGGAAAGAAAATAGAATTTGCTCAAAAATAACTTTGTTATTTGGCGTCTTAGACTTCATACTGAAATAGGATTTATAACTCTGATATTAAAGAATCATTTCGTCTATTCAAGGGTCAATAAATGATATCATAATATATCGCTTCCCCCATGTTACAGGCAGCCCCTCATGGTAATGAGTGAGTCTTCCCGGGTGCATAAACGACCAGCCTCTACGGGTTTCTGTCACTTGGCAGTTATAGCGCAAAAATCTGCATCCCCCGCCCTGTAAATGAAAAAATAGACTTTAGCATGACGACCAAACTATGACATTATAAGTAGCCACAGAATTTAATATTGCGTAGGTTGTTGTTAAAAATTCGGAAATGGTTTGAGTTGCCTTATTTCTGCGTTGATACGCTAACTGCTTGATTGATAAAAAACGAGTCACCACGTTTGGAACCAAAACGAACACTCGTAGAAAATATCCCTGGGAAAATATTTCAAGGAACCAATACAAAGTAAACTTTAAAACATGTACACAGCTTGAAGCGCAGAAGAACGTGAGTGATTTAGACGCAAATGGTTTTAGTTTTGCTTTTGATTGGTTAAGAGAGAGTGGTGCAAGTTTTTCGTGCCAATCACAGGATACAAGGAAGCAAACCCAATGTAATCCCGGATATCCTCAGAAATTCAAGATGGATAGTGTTATTTTAAAATTGGCGACACAGTGTGAGGTAATTTATCAGTATGAGATCTCTCAGGGTTACTGACCAACGAAAATTGATAATTCTCACCCCATGGTCTTTTCCTGGCCTTGTTAGGGCGATGTTGATTGTGTATGTAGAAGCGTCGTGGTGCGGTCTAAGATAATACTGCCTGTTTGGATCGTATTTTACCACAAAGTTCATGATAGAACGAGCCTGAAAGACAGAATAAAAATGTGTAAGTTACACTGTATGAAGTGGGGAGCAAGTCGACGTTTTTCTGGCCGATACGCACTGTGTTCGACAAGACTTCGGGAAGTACCAACTGTCGAGCGAATCAAAAACTGGCTTTCAGTCATCAAATCAACTCTGTTGTGCAAGCTTTACTGTAATGTCAAAATCAATTCCATGGCGTGACACATTTGCTCACCGAGACCTCACAAAACTCGTTTTCTACTCTACGCGTATCAAACCCTATAACTTCTAAGAGTGACTACCATCTAATTTCTCTTTAAAGTATCATCGCTGAATCAAACATTAAGCTAACGAGAATAAGGGAAATGATCGCCATTACCATAAGAAATAGCATAGAGAACAAGCATGCTGATGTTAGAGTGTCTAGGGGTAGCCATAATTTCTTACCTCAGAGTTGTACCCTGGATAAAGTCTTCCATTCACGGGTACAATGTATTCCTTGAGAAAGTGAAGCCAATGTCTCTCGTAGCCAATCTGCAGACAAAAAAAACAACATAAGTAATACAAATGAAGGCGGGATAAAATCCCCTTGATTTATGGACGTTAAAATAACAATGCAGGTGGATTGCTGAAAAAGATGTTATTGCGGCCTCACTTTAACCGCGAATGACAAGGGTTGCATTCCCAGCATCCAGCATCGGTGAACTATGGCTCCTTATCATGCTACTCGATTTTTTTTTCAGTTTCCCGAGCTCATCGTCGGTTTTATGTCGACTCTCCGCCCATTTCTTGCTATTGCAAGAACAATGGAACCTCTATTTCAAGGGGGGGGTTTGCAGAGCTTTCAATATGCGAACAGACCCTGAAAAGAGCCAGGCCAGAGAAATGGCAAAGATTATTAGATTACTATCTTGCTTGATAATAATAATAATGA